CAATAGTAGAATAATTGGGATCCCAGAGGAAGAGGAAAGGGAGGGGCAGAAGGTATATTGGAGCAAATTATATCTGAGAACTTCCCTAATTTGGGGAAGGAAATAGGCATTCAAGTCCAGGAAGCACAGAGAACCCCCTCAAAATTTATAAAAATACGTCAACACCTATTTTTAGCTGTCGACATATAATAGTGAAGCTTGCAAATTCCAGAGACAAAAAGAAAATCCTGAAAGCAGCTCGGGACAAGAGGTCCATAAATTACAAAGGTAGAAACATTTGACTGGCATCAGACCTCTCCACAGAGACCTGGCAGGCCAGAAAGGACTGGCATGATATATTCAGGATGTTAAATGAGAAAAATAAGCAGCCAAGAATACTTTATCTAGCAAGGTTGTCATTCAAAAAAGGAGAGATAAAAAGCTTCCAGGACAAACAGAAACTAAAAGAATTTGTGATTACTAAACAAACCCTGCAAGAAATAATAAAGGGGATCCAGTAAGCAAACAGAGAGTCCAAAAGTAACATAAACCAGAAAGGAACAGAGACAATCTACAGAAACAGGGACTTTACAGGTAATACAATAGCACTAAATTCATAACTTTTACAGTTACTCTGAATGTAAATGGGTTAAATGCCCCAATCAAAAGACACATGGTACTAGATTGGATAAAAAAGCAAGACCCATCAATATGCTCTCTGCAAGAGACTCATTTTAGACCCAAAGACACCTCCAGATTAAAAGTGAGGTGGTTGAAAACTATTTATCATGCTAATGGACATCAAAAGAAAGCTGGGGTAGTAATGCTTATATCAGACAAATTCGATTTTTTTTTGACAAATTAGATTTTAAACCAAGGACTATAATCACTTTTTTAAAAAAATGAAATAGTTGTAAATCTAACAAAACATGTATAGAACTTCTATGCTGAAAACTACAAAAGGCCAATGAAAATAACCAAAGAAAATCTCAATAAAGCAGACACATACTTTGTTCATGAAATAGAGAATCAACATAGCAAAAATGTCAATTATCCCCAGATGATATATAGGACTCCTATTAAAATCCTAGCAAGGTTTTTGTAGATGGAGACAAAATTATTTTTAAATTTATATGAAATGTCAGAGGAATTAGAATAACTAAAACATTTTTGAAAAAGAAGAGTAGGGTAGATAGAATTAGTATATTCAATTTCAAGACTTATTATAAAGCTATAGTAATCAAGATTGTGTAGTATTGATGGAAGGATAAACACATAGATCACTGGGAGAGTAGAGAACCCAAAAATATATTCAACACTTTTATGACAAAGGTGCCAAAACAATTTGATAGAGGAAATATGGTATTTTCAATAAATGGTTGGAGAAATTGGACATCTACAGGCAATAATTGGACCTTAAACTAAGTCTCAAATGTTATCTAAAAAAAACCCCTCAAAATTGAACATGGACTTAAATATAAGACATGAGGGTATAAAATCTTTAGGAAAAAACAGGGGGAAGTAGTTGAGTTGTAATGCTAGGCAATGAGTTCTTAGACTTCACACCACAAACAGGATCCAAAAACAATAAATTCATAAACTGGACTTCATCAAACTTAATATTTTTCTCTGTGAAAGACCTTTGTAAGAGATAAAATAACAAACTATTTTCAAGCTGCATATCTGACAAAAGACTGAGATCTAAAATATATAAAGAACTTTACAAAAACAAAAACATTACACCAAAAATAATATTCAAAATGCAAACAGTAGATGAAAGATGTTCAACATTATTATCTATTAGGGAAATGCACTTATTACATATATTACACTTACCAGAATGGATTTTTTTTTTAAAGTAAAATGTCAAATGCTGGTGAGGATGCAAGGATGCAAAGACACTGGATCCCTCACACATTGTTGGTGGCTATATAAAATAGTACAGCCACTAAGGAAAATATTTTGGCAATTTTTTCAAAACTAAACATCCACGTACTATATGGCCCAGAAATTACACTCTTGAGCATTTGTCCAAGCTAAATGAAACTTATGTTTATATAAAAATCTATAAATAAATGTTTGTAGCAGCTTTATTTACACTAGTAGAAAATTTAAAGCAACTCAGATATCCTTCAATTAGAAAATAGTTAAAATGTGGTGCATCCATGACATAGAATACTACTCAGCAGTAAGAAAGAACAAACTACAGATAACCCCAAGAATCTGGATAAATCTCTAGAGATTTATTCTGAGGAAAAAAAAAAGCCAATTCTCCAAAGGATACATAATGTATGATTCCATGTATATAACATTCTTAAAATGAAAAACTGTAGAAATGGACAAGGTTAATGGTTGCCAGCGGTAAGAAGGGAGAAGAGGTGGGAGGAAGTAGTTACTATAAAAGGTCAGCATGGAGAATTCTTGTGGTAATGGAAATGTTCTATATTTGACTGTATCTATGTCAATGTCTGGGCTGCGATATTCTACTAGAGATTTGAGAAGCCAACACATTGTTTTCCATAACATTTTTCATTCCCTCAAGCAGTGCACAAAGGTTCCACTTTCTCCATGCGCACTTGTTACTTTTTTCTTTCTTTTAAATTGAAGTATTGTTGACACACAATGTTTCATTAGTTTCAGATGTATAACATACTGATTTGACAAGTCCTTATGCTATGCTCACCACAAGTCTAGCTCCCATATGTCCCCACACAACCCTATTACAATATCATTGACTATATCTCCTATACTGTACCTTTTTCTGGTTTTGTTTTGTTTTGTGATGATAATATCCTAATGGGAGTGAAGTGTTTGTATTATGGTTTGGCCAGATGCTACCTTTGAGAGGATATAGAGAAAGGGTACACAGGATCTCTTTGTATTATTTCTTATAGCTGCAAGTGAATTTACAATTACCTTAAAATTAAAAGTTTAATTTAAAAAATGTCCTAACTGCCAAAATTAAACAATGATGAAAAATGTGAAGAAGAAAATTAAAAGGACCCATAATCACACCACTAAGATGAAGCAACTTTTAGTACTTAAGGGTAGGGACATTGGAGACAAAAGTGTAGTTCTTTGCCCCATGATTTCTTAGCACTATTAGCCTGTTTCCTTATCTGTAAAGTGTGATTATATTATTGTCAGAAATTGTAAGGGATCTAAAATTTTACCCTACCTGCAAGCTAACAAATTAGTCTGTCACAGTTTCATGACAGGAACACCCGTGATTTCCAGGTCAGAGGAAAAACTTTATTACTCACAGCAGCAACAGTTCCAGAGTATCAGCTGTATCATCAGCTCCAGTTCTCTGAGCCTCACTGCCCACAGGACAATACAAAGAAGCAGAGATGATGCTCCCACATTCAGTGCTTTGAGTTACAGTAGAGGAGCTCAGAGAACTCACATCTTTCATATCAGGCTTGCTTGTCCTTTGACTAGAGGAAAATATCTTTATGATATTGGATGATAAACCCAATTATCCTATCTCTGTCTTCCAACATTGCTTGCAATATAAGTGCCCTTGGAAGGATAGATCCAAACAAAAAGAGTCAGTCTCTCTGCTTGCGAATCAGGCAGAAACCCAAAAGATATATGGAGAATTGTCTGCCAACTATTATATAATTCAAAATGTTTTTGTGAGGTTTTTTATTCTGTTTGGAGGATGAAAGAGTAAAGGCTTTGCAGGTACAGGCTTAGCACAGTGCCTGAAGCACAGTAGTACTGAATCAAAGTACCAATTTTTAAAAAGCATTTCACAATCACACCAGTCTCCACCAGTCAGCTGATCATGCCCTATATCTTCTCACCTACTCTTTCCATCAAATTTCCATAATCTCAGGACTATATCTAAAATACCAGTGTTTTCAACTAATTTTTCTTCCTTTGTCTCATTCACCAAGGAATCAAGAATTTCTAGAAAATGGGTAAAAAGGACACTAGGAAGCTCTGTGCTGCCAGCTTCATTTCCCAGGATAAAGCTGATGAAATTATCTGTGATTCTGGCAGCTTTTTCAGATTGCAAAAGCTTCAATTCCATATACTTGGGCCAGTAATAGCTTTAAAAACTCTCTGTTCCTGAGTGGCTTCCTATTTTTATTTTTGGCTTTGATCTTACTCTAGAAGTATAGATTTAAGTATTTTTAAAAATAGAATGAATAAAGAGATGGGACATGCTATTAGAGAATTTGAAGTAGGGGGCTTGGTGGGAAATGGGTTTGAAGCAGAAATTTATCTTCTATTCCTTTGCATGTTAGTAATAGTGGCCAGGGGACCATAAAGGAAAGACTGGAAGATGTTACTAAAACTTTGACTTGTAAAAAGCTTTTCTCTAACAGTTCCAGGTTTTTCAACTCTGCACAAGCAGAGGCTTAAGACACTGCACCAAAAAAGTACCAAAAATTTATCAAAATCTGTTTTTTTATTTTTATTTTTTAAAGGATTTATTCATTTATTTGACAGAGAGAGAGCACAAGCAGGTGGAACAGCAGGCAGAGGGAAAGGGAGAAGCATACCCCCCTGCTGAGCAGGGAGCCTGATGTGGGGCTCAATCCCAGGACCCCAGGATCAGGACCTGAGCTGAAGGCAGCCACTTAACCAATTGAGCCACCCAGTCACCCCAGTCCTTTTTTTTTTTTTTTAATTTCAGTTCTTAGAAAAGTATAGTGAAGATTTATTTTAAAACTTTATCTCCAAATAAACCATTTCTGATATACTTTGTGATTCCTCCAACTTAAGGTCCAGGAAGACGAGAGGTGAAAGTAATCTTCTTAAGCTTTTAACGAAACAAAACACTTCAATGCCCAATCTAGTCTCTCAACTACTTTTCCCCCCAAATTGGCACCACACCCTATGCTTCTATTAACTCTAAAGGGACAATTTTATATTTTACACTTTTCTTATAGTGGAGATTTGAGATATAGAAGGTATATCTGTTCTCTTGGAATCAAGAAATTTTATAGACCATCTCCACTAGTTATTAGTTTTAAAGAAACTTTAAGAAGGCGCTCTACTGGGCCATATTGTCTGTGTGAGGAGAGGGGAGAGCGGCCGCTGCTGCCGCTTCCACCACAGTTTAAAGAAAACAGGTCTGAAACAAGGTCTTACCCCCAGCTGCTTCTGAACACAGTGACCACCAGATCTCCAAACATCAAGTCCACCTTCGTTCGCCAACCTGTCTGACATGTCGGGACCCGTGCCAAGCAGGGCCAGAGTTTACACAGATGTTAATACACACAGACCCCGAGAGTACTGGGATTATGAGTCACACGTGGTGGAGTGGGGTAATCAAGATGACTACCAGCTGGTTCGAAAATTAGGCCGGGGTAAATACAGTGAAGTATTTGAAGCTATCAACATCACAAATAATGAAAAAGTTGTTGTTAAAATTCTCAAGCCGGTAAAGAAGAAGAAAATCAAGCGTGAAATAAAGATTTTGGAGAATTTACGAGGCGGTCCCAATATCATCACACTGGCAGACATTGTAAAAGACCCTGTGTCACGAACCCCTGCCTTGGTTTTTGAACACGTAAACAACACAGACTTCAAGCAATTGTACCAGACGTTAACAGACTATGATATTCGATTTTACATGTATGAGATTCTGAAGGCCCTGGATTATTGTCACAGCATGGGAATTATGCACAGAGATGTGAAGCCCCATAATGTTATGATTGATCATGAGCACAGAAAGCTACGACTAATAGACTGGGGTTTAGCTGAGTTTTACCATCCTGGCCAAGAATATAATGTCAGAGTTGCTTCCCGATACTTCAAAGGTCCTGAGCTACTTGTAGACTATCAGATGTACGATTATAGTTTGGATATGTGGAGCTTGGGTTGTATGCTGGCAAGTATGATCTTCCGGAAGGAGCCATTTTTCCATGGACATGATAATTATGATCAGTTGGTGAGGATAGCCAAGGTTCTGGGGACAGAAGATTTATATGACTATATTGACAAATACAACATTGAATTAGATCCACGTTTCAACGATATCTTGGGCAGACACTCCCGTAAGCGATGGGAACGCTTTGTCCACAGCGAAAACCAGCACCTTGTCAGCCCTGAGGCCTTGGATTTCTTGGACAAGCTGCTGCGATACGACCACCAGTCACGGCTTACCGCAAGAGAGGCCATGGAGCACCCCTATTTCTATACTGTTGTGAAGGACCAGGCTCGAATGGGCTCATCTAGCATGCCGGGGGGCAGTACGCCTGTGAGCAGCGCCAGTATGATGTCAGGGATTTCTTCAGTGCCAACCCCTTCACCCCTTGGACCTCTGGCAGGCTCACCAGTGATTGCTGCGGCCAACCCCCTTGGGATGCCTGTTCCAGCTGCCGCAGGCGCTCAGCAGTAATGGCCCCTTCTGTCTCCTGATGCCTGAGCAGAGGTGGAGGCGTCCGCGCCCTCCTTGATGCAGCTTGCGCCTGGCGGGGAGGGGTGAAATACTTCAGAAGCACCGTGTCTGAACCGTTGCTTGTGGATTTATAGTAGTTCAGTCATAAAGAAAAATTATAATAGGCTGAAAAAAAAAAAAAAAAAAAAAAGAAGGCGCTCTACTGAACTTTATACATACAAAAACAGAAGCTGCTATAGAAGAAATAGAAGCAGGCTCAGTCTATACATTTTAGGAACTGGTATTCCCTCCTGAGAGTAAAAGAAGCATGTAGAATATAGTCAGACAGACCAGGTAAACTGAAGGCAAAGGAGGGATGCAGGCAAGGAGATCTCAAAGAGACCACCAGAAGTGAAAAGATTGGCTACCTAGGAAAATTAACAAAAAAAGATCAACTGCAAGGCATTTCCTACTAAAACTATCAAATTTCAGATATAAAGATAAAATCCTTAATATCTGCTGGGAAAAAGGACAAATAATTTTAAAAAGCAAAATAATTAAACTGGCAAGAAAGTTTTCAAGGCCAACATACAAAACTGGACAATAATAGAGCAGTATTTTTAAAAAGCATAATGAAAATCTGAGTCAACCGTTCTTTATTTCCTTCTTTCTGTCCACATTAACTAATTGGAATACTACATGAGAAAAAGCTGTCTCTTCTCCTCCATCTATTTGTTAATAATTTATATATCAGCATAGACTCATGACTATTTTATTTTATTATATGGGTTAAGATTCATTACTATTATTTATTTTGTTGTTTAAATTGTTTCAGCTGTGGTGATTAGAGGCTCCTTCAGGTTGGATCTTTGGTTTTTAAATTTCCAAGTAGAAATTCATTCTGTTTGTTTTTGTTAGTAAGTTTTAGTTTTATTGTATTGTTATCAGAGTGGATTGTTTGAAATATTTCTGTATAAAAGTTATTAATGTCCTCTTTTTGTTACTTAAATCATAGAGTAAACTATTCATGAGTCCATGCTGATATAAATATACAATTAAAAAATCAATGGGAGAAAAGAGGCAACTCTTCTTCACCATAGAATTTCAATGAATTAATGTAGACAGAAAGAGGGAAATAGAGAATAACCATTAGATAAACACCACAGAATTAAATGTTATAGATAAGATCCACCAAAGAATACTAAAATTAGCACAAAAGTTTGAGAAGAAACCAAGAATTTGTATAATCTCAACGTATCTCTCTAAATATGCCTACCAATTACAAAATGAAAGATAGTAACTTTACACTGGAAAAATCTAGCAGACACCAATGTAACCAAGTAATCAGTGCAAATGATAAAAAGCTGAGGAATTGTTACAGACTATACTAAGATTAAGTAAAATAACAAATAAATACAATAAGAGGTCTTGAATAGGATTCTGGAACTAAAATTCAAAATTTTAAATAATAAAACATTACACAAAAAGATGCTTAAAATTATTAGTCACTAGAAAGTGAAAAGAAAAACCACAATAATATACCATTAATCACCTATTAGAATGGCTAACATAAAAAATACTGACAATACCAAGTGCTGACAAGGACATGAAGCTACAGAAATCCACTGGTGGGAATGCAAACTGGTATAGTCACTCTGGGAAACAGTGTAGAAATTTCATAAAAAGTTACATACATACAAATACCAAGAGTGAACTTTAATGTAACTATGGGCTCGGGGTAATGCACAAGCTAATCTTACACCTAAAATAGCAGGAGAAAGAACACCAAATAAAACCTAAACCAAGCAGGAAAAGAGAAATAATAAAGATTAAAGCAGAGATAAATGAAATAGAAACCAGAAAAACGGTAGAACAGATCAACAAAACTAGAAGCTGGTTCTTTGAAAGAATTAATAAGATTGATAAACCTCTGGCCAGACTTATCCAAAAGAAAAGAGAACAGATATAAATTAATAAAATCATGAATGAAAAGGGAGAGATCATGACTAACAGCAAGGAAATAGAAATAATTATTAGAAATTATTACCAGCAACTATATGCCAACAAATTAAGCAACCTGGAAGAAATGGGTGCATTCCTAGAAACCTATAAACTACCAAGACTGAAACAGGAAGAAATAGACAATTGGAATAGACCCATAACCAGTAACAAAATTGAAGCAGTAATCAAAAACTTCCCAAAAAACAAGAGTTCAGGGCTAGATGACTTCCCAGGGGAATTCTACTAAACATTTAAAGAAGAAATAATACCTATTCTCCTGAAGCTGTTTCAAAAAATAGAAACAGAAGGAAAACTTCTGAACTCATTCTATGAGGCCAGCATTACCCTGATCCTAAAACCAGGCATAGACCCCATCAGAAAGGAGAGTTACAGCCCAATTTCCCTGATGAACATGGATACCAACATTCTCACCAATATACTAGCCAATAGGTTCCAACAATACATTAAAAGGATTATTCACCATGACCAGGTGGGATTTATTCCTGGGATGCAAAGGTAGTTCAACATTCCCAAATCAATCAAAGTGATAGAGCACATTAATAAAAGAAAAGACAAGAACCATATGATCCCCTCAATTGATGCAAAAAGCATTTGACAAAATAAAACATCCTTTCCTGATTAAAACTCTTCAGAGTGTAGAGATAAAGGGAACATACCTCAATATAAAAACCATCTATGAAAAGCCCACAGCAAATATCATTATCAAGGGGGGAAAGCTGAGAGCTTTTCCCTTAAGGTTAGGAACATGACACTTTCACCCACTTTCACCACTCTCACCCAATCTCACCACTGATGTTCAACATAGTGCTAGAAGTCCTAGTATCAGCAATCAGACAACAAAAATAAATAAAAGGCATCCAAATTGGCAAGGAAGAATTCAAGCTCTCTCTCTTCACAGATGACATGATACTTTATGTGGAAAATCCAAAAGACTCCACTCCCAAATTACTAGAACTCATACAGCAATTCAGCAATGTGGCAGGATGCAAAATCAATGCACAGAAATCAGTTGCTTTTCTATACACTAACAATGTAATTGTAGAAAGAGAAATTAAGGAGTCAATTCCATGTACAATAGCACCAAAAACCGTAAGATACCTAGGAATAAATATAACCAAAGAGGTAAAGGTTATGTACTCTAGAAACTACAGAACACTTATGAAAGAAATTGAAGAAGACAAAAAAAAAAAAAAGATGGAAAGAATAAATATTGTTAAAATGTTTATCCTGCCCAGAGCAATCAACACTTTCAATGCCATCTCTATTAAAATACCATTGGCATTTTTCAAGGAGCTAGAAAAAACAATTCTAAAATTTGTATGGAACCAGAAAAGACTCTGAATCACCAAGGGAATGTTGAAAAAGAAAAACAAAGCTGGGGGCATCACGTTGCCCAACTTCAAGCTATATTACAAAGCTGTGATCATCAAGACAACCTGGTATTGTCACAAAAACAGACACATAGATCAATGGAACAGAATAGAGTCTCCAGAAATGGACCCTCAACTCTATGGACAACTAATCTTTGACAAATCAGGGAAAAATATCCAATGGAAAAAAGTCAGTCTCTTCAATAAGTGGTGCTGGGGAAATTGGACAGCTACATACAGAAGAATGAAACTGAATCATTCTCTTACACCATACACCAAGATAAACTCAAAATGGATGAAAGACCTCAATGTGAGACAGGAATCCATCAAAATCCTAGAGAAGAACATAGGCAGTAACCTCTTTGACATCGCCCACAGCAACTTCTTTCAAGACACTTCTCCAAAAGCAAGGGAAACAAAAGCAAAAATGAACTTTTGGGACTTCATCAAGATAAAAAACTTTTGCACAGCAAAGAAAACAGGCAACAAAACTACGAGGCAACCCACAGAATGGGAGAAGATATTTGCAAATGACACTACAGATAAAGGGCTGGTATCCAAGATCTATAAAGAACTTTTGGAACTCAACACTCAAAAAACAAATAATCCAGTCAAAAAATGGGCAGAAGACATGAACAGACACTTCTCCAAAGATGACATCCAAATGGCCAACAGACACATGAAAAAATGCTCAACATCACTTGTCATCAAGGAAATACAAATCAAAACCACAATGAGATACCACCTTACACCAGTTAGAATGGCAAAAATTAACAAAACAGGAAACAACAAATGTTGTGAGGATGTGGAGAAATGGGAATGCTCTTACACTGTTGGTGGGAATGCAAGCTAGTACAGCCACTCTGGAAAACAGTATGAAGGTTCCTCAAGATGTTAAAAATAGAGCTACCCTATGACGCATCAATTGCCCTACTAGGTATTTACCCCAAAGATACAGATGTAGTGAAAAGAAGGGGCACATGCACCCCAATGTTCATAACAGCAATGTCCACAATAGCCAAATTGTGGAAGGAGCTGAGATACCCTTCAACAGATGAATGGATAAAGATGTGGTATATATATACAATGGAATATTACTCAGCCATCAGAAAGGATGAATACCCACCATTTGCACTGAGATGGATGGAACTGGAGGGGATTATGCTAAGTGAAATAAGTCAAGCAGAGAAAGACAATTACCATATGGTTTCACTCATATGTGGAACATAAGGAATAGCATGGAGGAGCATAGGGGAAGGGAGGGAAAATTGAGGGGGGAGAAATTAGAGACAGAGACAAACCATAAGAGACTATGGACTCCGGGAAACAAACTGAGGGTTTCAGAGGGAGGGGGGTCGGGGGATGGGGTAACTGGGTGATGGGTATTAAGGAGGGCACATGTTGTGATGTGCACTGGGTGTTATATGCAACTAATGAATCATTGAACAGTACATCAAAAACTAATGACATACTACACAGTGGCTAACTCATCATAAAAAAAACCATGGACTTGGGGTGATAATGATATGTCAACATAGGTTTATCATTATATTACTAAGATAATAATAATATTGATCATGGGGGAGGCTGTCCATGTGCGAGATCAGGGGATATGTGAAATCTCTGTACTTTATGCTTAATTTTGCTATGAACCTAATACTGCCCTAAAAATCAAGTCTAATAAATTTTATTTAAGTTAAACATACATTTATAAGATGACCCAAACAGTTCCACTTCTATGTATTTATCTTAGAGAAATGAAAAAGTTATGTTCACAGAAAACCTTGCTTGT